TTAAAGATGTGAAGTTGCATGTAGGTTGGTTCCTCTGAACTTTAAAACTCTTCACAGCCCTTGGCTCATCTATCTATTTAAGCCAGTAACTAATTTAGTATATGCAAACAGTCCTACTGAAGTGAAACCATCCCTGTGCTGAAGCTCTTTGTTGAGCTGGGGCCATGGAGACCTACCCTTGATCTTGGCTTTGTTACTAGTTTTATGCACACTAGAGCATTCCAGTTATTTGTGTTTAAGTCGATTTAAAATCACATGGTTGTCAAGTGCCTCAGTGTAAGCTGCAAATAGCTATTTATACAAACCATGCTTGGCATTTTTAAAATGCTGGGTTTTTAAAATCATAATTTCTAGCATTTTTGTACCATTTCAGTGAAGATACTGTGCTAGATTTTGTTTTTCAGACTTCATACATTGAGATCATGTGACCTTCTGACATTTTTTAAGAAACCACATGCACCTGGGGTTGGGTTAAATGTCAGACCCTTATCTCTTTCTAAAACAAATTATCTACATTCTCTCAACCTGTTGAAGGCATTTTAACCACAGGAGTGAATGTAAAATGTATTTCAATTCTGTTAAGGAAGTTCCTATTCAGATGTAATGTTTTTTCATGCTTACAGTGTCAAAAGATAAGCCAACTGAAATGTAGTTTTTGCAAAAAAAAATCAAATAATAATAATTTGAAGGACACACTCTTCACTGTTAATGGTGTTTCAAGCTTTTTCATGTTTTAACTGTGCTTCTCTGAGGTTTGATGAAGCTTGTAAAGTAAGACACATTCTAGTTTGAAATATGTAAGCTGAATTTTCATTGATTTATTTTTTTTTTTTTTAGAGGTTCTGGTACAGTATAAAAATACAGCTGAGCCCTTGTGGAATAATTGTCGTCTTGTATTTGTGTTTTAAGATAAGATCCTGTGAGGCTCAGAAAACCTTTAAACTTGACATTCGTAGGATCAGATTCCCACAGACCCCTCTGTAAGCTACTGACATACCTGGGATCAGGGTAGGATTTTGCAATTATTATGTTGTTTAAGAGAGGTATATCATGTTGGAGCTGGTTTTTCACTTCCTTTATCATCTCCCTGAGAAATGACAGGATTCCCATTGCTAACATTCTTTCTCCTCATTCCACTCTTTGTATTAGAAATAAATTTTCAGGCTCTTATCTTCGGATGATGATCCACATGCCTGTTCTATCTTTGGATTTTTATTCACTACAAAAACACGAACGTACATTTTTCCCTTTTTTAGCTTTTTCAGTACTTACATGGAGCTTTGTGGCCACATGTCCTTCCATCATACTGATGTATGGAATGAAGTCAGTGTGACCCCATAGTCTCTATGTTATTCAGCCTCAAGCTTTAATATTGCAGCTGTGGCTACATTGTTCTACCCTGGCCCAGGTTGCCCAGAGAAGCTGTGGCTGCCCCATCCCTGGATGTGTTGAAGGGCAGGATTTCTCTGTGTGTTCTGTGAAGTACACATTGCAGCATGATGTTCCGTGCTCCTTTGGAGAGAGCCACAGGGTTATAGAGAGTAGGATGTCTAAAGTATTGAAGGTCCACAACTGAAAGAAACATGGCTGTACCAGCACAAATTTCTGAAGTGTTTTGTAGACCCTGACACTGAAGTTGTTTGAGGTGAGGTCTGTAGTGGCAGTGGCGCCACTTGCACTGAGTCCTTCTCAGGCCCAACATCTGGTTAGCAGGACCTCTGCTGAGCCCACAGTTGAATGACATCTCCTGAGATGTCTCTCTAACATTGCTGCTGTTGAGGTTTGTAAACCACTGGCTCTCTAACCCTTTAAGTCCTCTATGGAATTGAATGTGTTGGTCAAGCTGAAAATCAAGTGGAGTGCAGGTGTGCCTTTTTCACTACAACCAAGATTATTGCGTAGCACCATTTCTTCAGTTTATCCCACCAGTGAAGCTGGCAGCTTTGCTGGTAACTTACTTCTACTCCAGGGTCTGGAAATCTTCAGGGCAAGCAAGCTTCATGGACCCACCCCAAGTATTGAAGTGCATGGGCAGCTCCTTCAATCCTGGTGACTGTTTTGGTGTCCCTAATTCTAGTCAGGACAAGAGTGATTCCTCGCAGGAAAGTAATATTTTAAATCCTCAAGATTACTTTATTTCTTGTGCCATGAAAACTTTCTTGAAGAGCACTTGGTGAAGGACCTCACCATAACCTTTATGGAAATACACACAAACTGTGCAGACCAAGTCAGTGTTCTCAAAGTGCTTTTTGATTCTCAGTGAAGCCCAGACCTCCTGTTATCAAAGAAAATGACATTTATCATTTAAATATCATTATCCACAGACCTATTGTTTCTGTGCCACACATACTACCAGTTCACCTCAGATGGATTTCTAGTCCTTTGGGTCATTTCTACCTCCTGCCCTGCAAATTTGTTTTGTCCTCTAATGCTCATAAGGCCTTACCTCCAGGAGCTACTTACCTTTTGGCCCTGCTGACTTTCTGATGGGCTTCCAGTAGCCACTATGCTGAATGATCACCCAGGGGTAATATGAAGAATTGGTGTCTATGTTGCCTTTTTGGGTTAATAGAAGCAAAATCACAACCATTGTAATGCAAATGGTGTAATGACAACATACTTCTTGTGAAGTGGGACTTCTGAAGGGACAGCTGCATTCCACATGGAGCTCCTATTTTTTGTGCTGCTCCAGAGACACATAAAACGGTCTGGATTAATGTTTCTGCTCCTGTGCAAGTCTCACCCAGACTGACTGAAGCAATTGCTGAAGTGTCTGCTGTGGCTGGCAGCGTGGGGGTGGCAGCTCTGTCACCCTCCCGCTCAACCCCCTGTGCTCCTTGGCCATGGGAGCAATTCTTTGGGGATCAACATCTGCTAGCAGAGCACTGAGATGGGAAAAGCCCCCACCCTGCCTGCTTCCTGCTGCTCTTCCTGCTTCACATCTTCCCTCAGTTCACCTTTTTTGCTTTTCTCCCTTCTTTTCTCAGAGAGTGTTTTTTCCTGAAGCATTTTCACCAATGCAGAACTGGTTGCAGTTTGTCTCTTCTGCTGAATGTTCCTTTCCACAGCCATGCAGTGTGTTGGCAGCCTTTTCCCAACCAAGTTCTTGTTAAGTGCAGAAGGAAATGAGTTAACTTAGCTCCTGCTGTTAAGCCCTGGAAATTGTGGTTAAGTAGTCAGCCATCATAAAACAGTTAAACATTTGGTTTAAATATAAAAGTCTTCTGATTGTTCAATCAGCATTAGAGCAGGACAAAAATTAGTTTATTTAGAATTTCTGTACAGCTGGTGACAGAATTTATGTCATTTTCAACCTAAATTGCTGCCAGTAGGAAAAGAGCTGGTGCCAGATTTACTTACTGTGTGTTGTATGTTTCTATGAGTTGTCTTCTGTAATGTTTGAGGAGTCGTGTTTTTTTTAAATGACATCATTCTGTATTTTTAAATAACATAAAATAAATGCCTTCCTAAAAGAAGATATGCAAAGTAAAAAAAAATATTCAGAAGCAGTGACAGCAGATCTCAGTTTAGAATCTGAATATCTGGGAGCTCAAATCAAGTTTAGTGGCCATCCAAAAATCAGTGCTTTGTTCAGAGAGAAAATTCAAAGGCTTAAGTGGTAAGATACTAGATGATGATGGTAGTTGATATAGCAGTTTAATCACTTAAGTGTCTAAATATCATAAAAATATTCCCATAAAAAGGTATTCCTCAGTCATTTTTTGAAATGGAACTTCACGTGCCAAAAGCACCTCTGAAAATCTTACCCTGTAAGAGCATTTTTTGAGCCTTTGGGGTTTTTCTTACCCTGAAGGAGAGATGTATAAAAAATAAATATACCTATTTTCTCTGTTTTAATTAATTTGATCAATTAGTTATCAGCTGAAGTTTGCATGGCTCCCTAAGAAGTGCACATCTCTGAGAATTTAGGAGAATTTCTTTCCATTTTCCTCTTATAAAATGATGAAATAGTCAAATACCAATACTTAGGTTGTAACAGTTGCTCTTCCTGAGGTTTCTTGCTTCTCAAACAGAACTTTTGGGGTACAACTCTAGTTGTGTTCATGTATGGTGGGGCTGTCCTGCCTCCACACCCTTCCAGCAGGAGGTGATGGCAGTTTTATCCACTGTTTCCACATCTTGCCATGAGGAGACCGTCCTGAAGTTGCTGTGCTTTGTTCCAGGGCTTTTGCTGTGATAGAAATTTACTCTTTACTTAATTTTCTTAGTTTTGTTTGCAAGGAATCAAGTAGTGTGATACTTTGATTCTTCTTCTTCAGGGGAGATTAATCCTGTCAATTGCTATGGAAAATATTTGCATAGTTGGCAAGTCTGATTTTTTTTTTTTTTTTTTCCTGGATGCTTTTTCCACGTAATTTCTTGCTTCTATTTTCAAAAAAAGGGTCACTTGAAAACGCCAACATAACATGATTTAAAAACAGAACAGTCAGCTTTATTCTAGATAAATCATTCTGGAGTTTTCAGTCTGCAAAAAGATGTTTTCAACTCATTGGGTGAAGTCTGTGGGCCACTCTTTCTAGTTCTGCTTGTTGTCATTGGTTTTGTAAAGCTGCTTGTTCATGGGATGTTTGGGGTTTTGTTAGAAGCTTAACTGTGGAGCCTAAACTCTCATGTTTTTCTGCTCAGTTATACCTTGGAATAAATTGGGCATATTTTTCTTTTAAAAGTGGGAAAACAGAAACAATTGGGAGTCTATAGATGAGGTTCAGTGAAGCTGAAGAAAGAAAATTGTCTAGTTATGAAGATGATTTGCCTGAAGAAGAAATCTTATAATAGAAGAAATTTGGTGATTTTAGTTCTTTCAGAGCTGGTTTTAGAGAGAGTATGAAAAGAAGAAGCAAGTGTTAAATGTAGTCAGAGTCAGCTGGAACAGACCAGGTCTTAAAGGTTGGGTGATTCAATGAAAAAATTGATAGATACAATATGAGGAGATGCCTGTAGCAGGAATAAAGTCATACACATTTTCAGTGACCGAGATGTAGTGTTGAACAAGCCACCAGTTCATTGTTTGCTTTGCACAAAGTTGATTTGTTCAGAGCTCAGAGTGGTCCCGTTGAACATGGTAGGTGCTTGATGGTTTACTCAAGTGAACTCTCCAGGACTTTACCCTAGGTCTTTTTATTTCTTTGAGGAGTGTTGGGAGGGCATGAACCATGAGCTGAAGTCTGTGGAGTTGTCTTTCTGTGTTGTGCCTGTCTCTTCCTTCTGCTCCTGTGGCTCACTAAAACATGAGGTGAAGCCAAAAACGTGGTCCTGAGTGCAGCCAGGCAAGTGTGGAGGACAAATGTTTGCCCCTGGTTTGGCTTTCTGCCACTCCTGAATTTCTCATGCATGGTTTTAAGTAACCATCCTGAAATGGCTGTAGCATTTCCTGCATAATTCGATCAGTTAAGACATAAGAAATGTGGGGTTTTTTTCCTTTTATTTTGCTTACAGGAGCACCAGTGTACTCAGTAGCCTGGGGACCTGATTCTGAAAAAGTTCTCTATACTTCAGGGAAGCATCTGATTATTAAACCTCTTCAGCCCAATGCTCAAGTTTTGCAGGTATCATTAATATGTTAAAGTTGTCTCACGCTTCCATGAGAAAACCTTTTTCATTTCTCTAGAGTTTTGCCAAACATAAAAGGATTGTACTAAAATTTTCCAGGTACCACGTAGTGCTCATTTCCCCTCCCCTTTGTGGGTGTTTTGAGAATAAGGAGATTTGTTCATTTCTCTAAACTAAAAAAAAAATTGACAACTTCTGCTGTGGATGTTCTTTGGGTATGTGATTAGACATTTCCCTTTTAGTAAATAAGGAAAAAGTGAAGGGATTCAAAAGTCTTTTCATTGGTTCTGAAAAGGCAGAATGATACAGAAGCAATTGTTTGGAATGTGCTTTTGGTGCAGATTGTTATGGTTTCATACAGGCCATACTTAATTTATTTGCCTGCAGAAGAGACTTGTACTGTGGGAAGCCCTGGTCCACACAGGGGTGTATGAATGCCAGTAAAAAATTAATTATAAATATTAAAAATAGAAGTTGTCAAACTTGTTGCATCTATGTTTATTTTCTTCTATTTCAGTGGAAAGCTCATGATGGACTTATTTTAAAAACTGATTGGAACTCAGTTAATGATCTTATTATTTCTGCAGGTGAAGACTGTAAATACAAGGTGAGTAATGGTCCACTTCTAGGGAAACAAAATGACCAAAATATATTAGTTATTCTGATGTTTTCTAGTCTTAATAATACTTGGAAGCTCAAATTTAAATGAGATCTTTTAAGTTTTCAAGAAAAAACATGTTGCCCTAAAGTGTGTTATTTGTAAATACATCTCACTTTGTCCAGCAGCATAAAATTAGAATTATATTTTTTTTAAATAAGGGAGAATAAACATAAGTAAAAAGCAAGTGAAACAAAGGAAAACGTGTAGAAATATAGAAAAAATTACTTCAAATTCTGTAATCTATAACGTACATTGAAGAAGGTAATTACAACATTAGAGGAGATTAAACAACTGTTTCCTATTGCAGATGCATTAATGGATCCCTTAGGAAATTTTTTAGTTAGAAAATTCTGTATCCAGAAAAACCCCACATAATTATGTTTCTTCCCTTAGGAAGGAACTTATTTTTAATTGTATCACACGTTAGTTCTGTCCTTCTCTGAGTGTATAATGGCTGTGATAAAAACATGCACAACTAAGACAATAAGAAAAAATTAAAATTAAAAAAATGTTAAAATCAAATTACTTCGCTTTATAACTTGTCTTCCTGGTATTCCAGTGAGAAATTTGCAGAGGGGATGTCACATGGTTGGGAAATGGGTGCAAATAGAATAAACCTGGTGGTTATTTTCCAGACATACAGTGGTTTGCAGGAAACAAAGCTCATGAGCTCAAAATATTTTATAGGGAAGAATGTAACATTTGCCACAGCAGCAAAGTCTGTTGCATTAACAAACTGATACTGATGAGGAACAAACTTCAATGAAAAGTGAACTATAATAGATGTGATTTTTTTCTAGTTACAAAAAGGGCACTGAAATAACATGGAGAGTTCCTGCAGTTTTTGTGATCTTGAGAGAAAATGAAAGCTCAAGATTAAGTGAAGGTAGAGCCAAAGGATGATCATTTAGGTCTGTATTTCATTTTTCACAGGTCTGGGACAGCCACGGCCGCCTGCTGTACAGCTCCCAGCCCCATGAATATCCTATCACCTCTCTTGCCTGGGCTGGGGATGGAGAATTATTTGCTGTGGGGTCTTTCCACACTCTGCGTCTGTGTGATAAAACTGGGGTGAGTAACAGCTCTGAGAAACAGCTGGTGGGGAGTTGTACAAATTTATTCCTAATACAGCAGATAATCCTGAAGATACACATGCACAGGTGAGTATTTTTATTAGCAAAAACTAGTCATGACTTCCAGCACTTTGCTGCTGGGTGCACCTAAGATACTGCCTTCTTGATCTACTTTCCTGCCCCTCTAAATATGTTTGGGGTTGGATACATTTAATAATATTTTGCCTTTCAGGATATTCATTTTTTCAGTGCACTTTTTTATCTTTATTACTTAAAAACACAAAGCATTTACAAGCATCTCTTGTAAGGCAGTCATGAAGTACAGTTATTAATTACAGTTATTAGGAGTGTATAACAATAACTTGTCTTGAACAAGGAGGCAGAAGAACAGTGTCCTGTGCTTTCATTATTTAGCTCTTTTTTTAAAAAAGTACTAAAGACCAGGAGCTCAAGACATACTTTGATCCTCTCTTTACTTCTTAACTGTTGTGAGAGAAGGTCTCCTAAATACCATTATTTCTCCTTTTTTTTAAAAAACCACAAACTTGAGGCTTTACTCCCTGTTTGTTGTCGTTGACCTAGGGATTTTTTTATTTTTCAGCTTGGTCTCCATTAAAAATTAATTCAATGCAGTTTCTTCTGCCTTCATTGGTATTCTAAATAAATTAGCCCAGAGCACAGATTGACCTGATTGTGGATTTCCTGTGGTTCTGCAACTTTTTGTTCAGACTTGCATGGTTTGGGGCTTTTATTGTCCCATTCTGCACCTCTTTTCATGTTGTGTTTATTGCTCTTGTGATCAGATTAGGAAAAGAGCTTTTGCTGTGATGTTTGGGGCCATCTTCATGGTTCTCCTTACCATGAACTTGGACTTCCATGTATTTTTCCATTTGTGAAGAAGAGCCTTTAAAAGTGCTATGAGAAGTGGCTACAGGATGAGATCTCTGAGTTCATATTTAATTTTATGTACTGATTCTGATTTCAGAACTAAGTCTAAGCTAGGCATTACATTTAAATTTACTCATGGGTGAGTGAAGCCAACAGTTTAAATTGCATTTTCACTCATTTAAGCTTGAATGTGGCAGATGCTGGTGCAGTGGAAATGGAAGAAAAACACTACATTTCTTTTTCTGCTGTCCTGGATGCTGCTTTGTAGCATTTAGCTTTTGTTTCTGATCCCCAGAGCCTTACTGGCTTTCTTGCATAATATTATGTAATATTATTTACTGTAAGTATGGCTCCAACCCCTGCTAGCTGAAAACCAGTGTTTTTTTAATCAGCATTTAATATTGAACAGGCTTGTGATCTTTGCTTGAAATTTTAATGCAGAGAGGTTTATTTTTTCATGATATGAAGGGTTCTTTTACCTGGTTTATTAAACTCAACCCTTAAGGACACAAAAGCATGCACAGTAGCTCATGCCAGGTGCTTTTGTCTGTTTAGCAGCTGGCAATGATAATTGATCATCTTCAGAAGCCTTCATTTCTCAGGAAGTTTCTTTCCTGGCATTAAATGTAAATAGTTACTAAAGAACTAGCTTTGCTGGTATGGAGGGGAAGGGAAGAATGATTCACATACCACCAGAGTGATAGAGTTTGAAGAGAACCAGACCTGGCTTTTACTGGTCAACACAGACATTTTTATGATGTCTGATGTAATGGAGCTGTATTGGCAAAGTGCTCCTCAGGGAGCCATCAGGCAATATAGAGATCATTAACTCTTCTCTAGCATGTGTGTTCAGTTTGGGGACATAATTAAATTAAATTAAATTCTGTTAGTGTATGGTCTTTTCTCCTTTTCTTTCTGCCTAGATACTTGGTTTGAGCAGCTTCATGTTAAAAAAGAAAACTTCAAAGCCAACAGTAGCTTTGAGAAATTTAACTTCTTCATTTTAAAATCACTTTTGCTCTGATAACATTGTGGTCTACAATGCATTATTACAATTCTCCTACAGAATACAAAACAAAAGATGTTTAATGTTGAAATTTGTTGTCTGATTTAGTGTCCATCGTCATTCATCCTTCAGAGAGCATGAATGTTAATTTTCAAGTCTATATCTTGAAATGCAAAGGTATTGATGGATAGATTTTAGCCTTCCTGGTGTTCACAGCTTTTCAGAATCTAATCACTTGGATGGAGGACAGGGCTTAAAGTTCATTTATGTAAGCTATTTCCTGTGGCTCTGCGTGCTTCCCTTGACATTACTGATCAGGTCAAAATATTTACACAGTAAGAGATGGTAAGAATGACTGAAATTCACTGATTTCCTCCTTCCCCACTCCACTCCCACATAAGTATCTTCGAAAATGGACCATACCTATCTGCTCCAAAGACAGGTTGCTTTCCCAGTGCCTTGGAGAGGGTAGAATGCAGTGAGGGCAAATTAATCCTTTTTAAATTGCCCACAAAAGTTGGCAGAGAAGGACATCAACTTGATACTTTAATAACGCTGAAATTATTTATGCATTTGTTTTGAGAAGGCCTGCTGGATTTTCTTCCATTCACTATTTATTTACATTTGATGGGGATTGATGAAATTGATCTGATTTTTTTGTTGTTTTTCTTTTTCAGATTAATTGTGCTCTTCTTGGTAAACATTTGTTTATTTGCCATCTGTTTTCATAAATAAACTGATACTTGTTTGACTGCAAAGTCTTGCCCTTTGGTTGACTTGTATCTGGATTTAATCACTATGCTTAGCAAGTGCTTTGTGCTGAAAGCAATTCTCTGCATAAATCTGGAAATAAATTGGTATTAAATGATTCTGCACATTCTACAAACTTTCTCTTTTATCACAGTGTGAATTTGGGCCATTTTGCTAGACTGGTAGTTTGTATATTTGACTGATTCTGTTACATGTGGCTTTTTATATTCCATGACTTGCTCCATGGAATGTCTTATTTTGCTAGAAACTCTCTAGCATTTGGAAAACTTCATAAATTTGAGGAGATGTTGCCTAGTATCTGTAGAAAATAAAGGAAAACTGCAAGTGTAACAACTACTTCTCACCCACCACCTCATATAAGACAAGTGTGAATATTGTGCTAGAGCTAAAACATATATTGAGCTCTTTGATAACATTTCTATTCAGCTTTTTCTCAAAAAGATACAGACTTGAACTCAATAAAAGTTGGTTGCATTAATTTAATAACCATGGTTGGTCATAGGTTAAATAGTTAGCAGTGTTTGTCCTTTTTTTCCCATTTTTTTTTAAACTATCAACAAATGAGAGAGAAAAAATATCTAATGATGTTAAAACTATAATTGTAGCAGGTATCTGCGGAGAGGATTTGAAAATAATTAGTGTTTAGCATTAAAGCCATTATTTTAATTCAGAACAGAAAACTGTAAGACTATTGTAAAAGTAATATAATTATGTAAACATAAAATACGTATATAAGTAGCCTTTAAATTAACATATATTAGACAAATATAAAAGGAACAGCAAGATTTTGAGAGCGGATATACACAGTGCATATGTTTTCATACTATTCTAATAGTGCTGAATTGTCCCTAACTAGAGCTCTATGAAAACCCAAGCAAATCTGTTCTCTGTAGAGTTACAATGAGCTTTGTTCCCATTACATTTTTAGTCCTGTTTCACAGAAATATGCATTTGGCAGTCTAGCAAAAATAAGGGTGTCTTCTGCACTGTCTCTATTTCATCCACCTTCATTAACAGTCACAATCCTGGATTCTTTGTAGCTCAATAAAAGGAAAAATATTACAGATGGGTTTCCCATGGAGCTCTGTTGACCAGTTCTTTCCAAGTTGACATAGTTTAATTTATTAGAATTGGCTAATGTAACTTCTGGAAGAAAATGAAAACATGTGCATCTTCTATGAAAGTAATAATCTATTTAAAGAGCTACATTGATGTTTCATTTTCTAAGGTTAAGAATTTGTGTAGGACAGTTTGTCATCCTATTTTTGGTTCTTGGGTCTAATAATTACAAAAATGCGCTTGATATCAGGAGAATTTTAGATATCCTCTGTTTGGATTGTTCTATTACACAGCTTAATACCTCATGGCTTATTTTTTGATAATTCACATTAATTACTGGGGTCAGATATTTAAGGTGGCAACAGGAATCTCCATGGTTCTGTACTTCCATGGTCATGGCAATGATAGTTTCTCCAGGTAAATTGCCCTGTATTCCCTTGTAGCACTGGATTTTCATACCCCAGTCACTCCTGCTGCCTCTGGTTTATAGAATCTGTTGTGGATTCCCACGTGGTAAGAACTAAAAGACTAAAAATTCTTCTTATATTGTAAAATATAATTTTATTTTACACTGAGTGAAATATCTAGGAGGGGCATATGCAAACATATGAATTTCCCAAGAGCTGATTCCATGTGTGTGTGCATATTCAGGTGTTTCTAATGCACTGATGTAAGGGTTTGCTTTGGATAATAGATTTTTATAATCTTGTAAGATCTGATTTTCCCTCCATTACCGCAGAGAATTAACAGTCATTTTCTGGTGAGAAGCTTCTGGGCAGTTTGCACTCAAGTGTCAGTTCATCACTCAGGAGCAGTGAGACCTGATTCCCAGCTTTTAATGGACATTCAGACTGTGATGTGTTTTCAGCTCCCTCTGCACTAATGTGAAGTGCCCCATGGGGCACAAGGAAAACTGAGTCTTCACTTAGAAAAATAATGAAAAACTAGAAGTTCTCAGTTTTCAAGGACCTGAAACTTCCTTTTTCAGGCTTGGAGCAGAGGCTGGTTCTACCACACTCCTTGTGGTTTAAATGCATTTGCTGTTTTAGTCCATTCTGTGCGCTGATTGCTGGAATGGGTTGTGGAGGAGGTTGTCCAGTATTTTGGCTTTGTTTATGAAAAGAAAATGTGCAAGAACTAGAAGTAAAGTCAGTGGATGAGGTATCTTCTGTAGATCCTGACATCATGATGGGAGCTGGGTCTCTTTAGCTTGGAGAAAAGGAGACTGAGGGGTGACCTCATCAATGTTTACAAATATGTAAGGGGTGAGTGTCAGGGGGATGGAGTTAGGCTTTTCTCAGTGATGACCAGTGATAGGACAAGGGGTAATGGGTGTAAATTGGAGCATAGGAGGTTCAAGGTGAATATCCGAAAAATTTTTTTTACTGTAAGAGTGACAGAGCACTGGAACAGACTGCCCAGGGAGGTTGTGGAGTCTCCCTCACTGGAGACATTCAAAACCCACCTGGATGAGTTCCTGTGTGATGTACTCTAGGTGACCCTGCTCTGGCAGGGGGGTTGGACTAGAAGATCTCTCGAGGTCCCTTCCAGCCCCTAAGATTCTATGATTCTATGGGGGGGTGAAAC